TGACAGTGATGTGCCAATCGTGGTAATGGGCACCCATGGTGGACAGTGTTGGCTGGAGCTTCCCGACTAAATCAAGCCTGGAAGCAGGAGCAGCATCCACTTCCAAAATGGCTTGCCTCCGGAAACTCTATGTACGAACAGTGCTCAAGCTGTTCATTCATAGGGTTGCTATGAGTCGTCTACGACTCGACGGCATTAAACAACAACAACAACATAGTCATTTATGTACATCATGTTTTGTACATGTAATTTGTGGTTTTTACAATCATTCATATGCATTCTACTTTATTTTATTTATATTTATTTTATTTTATGATAATTATTTTATAATTATCATTGCTATGCCTATAATGGCGCTCTGGTGGCCTACTGGTTAAGAATCTGTGCTGCAATCTCAAGAGCACCCAGTTCAAATCTACAATGCTCCACAAGAGAAGGACAAGCAGTCTCCTCCCAAGTGATTACTGCCTCTGAAAACCCACAGGAGGGTCAGCTATAGGTTAGTTCCAACTCAATACACAACAACACACCTATTATCACTCCATCTTTTCAAATCATCATTGAACTTTTCCCATTATTTCACCCCACCTCCACTTACTAGCCTCTATATCCCAGTGATTCTTATTTACCCCTTCCCCTCTTTCTGTGCCCCTAGAAACTTATTTCCTATACATGGCTCCAATTTTACTCCTTCTCTGAAGACACACTCAGAAGCCTGAGCTTGTTGCTGTGTATTTAGAAAAAAAACCTTGGAAAATTCCCATATGGGCAGGGAAGAGTTAAATCTTGCAAAGAAGCTAGACAAATCAGAGATTTTAATTTTATAGTAATTTAGATCATATCACTCCTCTACTGAACTATTCAATGGCTTCACATTCCTCTAAAATGTACCAGCTAAAAGAAAAATATGCCATTTTTAATATTCTAGAAGATATTTTTAAAAGGAGGAACTGATTTGAATAATGTATCTTCTTTAACTTCACTTACAAAATGTTATCATTTTGTTTTACTATATCTAAATCAATATAAAAATTTAACTGTGATATCGCTTTTTGCCCTTACTGAAATTCAGCATGTATTTCACACTGTTAACACACCTAGAGTAGGATTACTAAACATTGCACGTGGTCAAAAGCCACAACAACACTGGGAACAGTACAGATGTCGATGATGTTATTGGGTTTGAGTCGGAACCGACCCATAGTTGACCATCCAGCAAGTTTTCAGAGGCTGTTAATCACAAGGAGGAGACTGCCCAGCTTTTTCGTGGAGCAGGTGGTGGATTCGAACCGCGTGTCTTTAAGTTAGCAGCACGATTTCTTACCAATAGCCCACCAGAGCTCCCTATAGAAGAGACAGGGAAGAGAAGGCAAAGCCTTTGCCTTACTGGGTTCTAATCGCTCGGACCCTTCTAACCTCCTCTCTCTCACGCCCTAGATCTCAAGCTCCAGTTTTTCTGACGGCTCAAGAAGGTCCTTTTGTTCTCAGGGGCTCTGCACGTGGCTGTCAGTTTTCCTAAAAGCTCAGGATCACTCCTCAGACACTGAAGTGGACACTGAAGTCTTCGTCGGGTCCCTCCCTGACCACAGCTGTCAGTGTCATGGAACTCCGCCCCCTTACTGTTCATTCATTTCTTGACTGCTGTTTGTGTCGCTCTCTCCACCCTCCCCCCAAAACAAAAAATGAGGGGAAAGGGGGGTGGAGAGATAAGCGTTCTTGCTTTGCAACACGGATTACTGGACGAGTTAATGAATGAACAGAGGAATGAATGAATGAAATCCTAGGACTGTCCGAGCGCCCCCAGGACTCACGGCGGCGACCCCTAGAGTCGCGGCAGCTGCCCAAGGTCACGCGGCGAAGTGGGGTTAGGGCCTGACCTGGGTTTAGCGCCCGCAGCCTGGGCTTGGGGATGGCCCCTCGGGTCCCCGCTCTCACCTCCTCCTTCAGGTAGTCGTACTTCGTTGGCTCCGGCTGCTGGGCCGCCCAGTTCTTCTGTTTCCTCTTCAAATCCCGGTCGAAGATGTTCAGGGCCTTCGGCGAGGTTCTGTCTGGAGGGGAGACCCCAGAGGCGACATCTCTGCGCCTGAGGTCCTTCATGGGGACCCCCACGGTCCGAGGCCGCCGCCACAGACGCCAGAGTCCCCGGCAGTGAAACATCTTCCCCTGCTCCCCTCACCGCGGCTCAGTGGTCGCGCGCATGCGCCACTGCTGTTTCGGCGCAGAACTATTTTGGACCAATTCTCGTGCCGTTACGACGGAGCGGCACGCAGGGGATTGTGGGTGTGGATTCCATGTGAACACGAGAGAAGCATCCGGGAATCCTGAGAGCGAGGAGGACGGCTGGGAGGGAAGAAGCAGAATCTGACCGAGTTGCCTTCGGTTTCGTGAGTGCCGACATCCTTACTTTTCTGACTCCTTTGGTCTTCCCTAATGGTTTCTCTGTGGTGCCCCAGCGCAATAATTGCCCTTGGCGGGGATCACTTTTTCACTTTCAGCCTGATGGTGGATGTGAAGGGAGGGATGAAGTTGGACGTAGGAGCAGAGATCTTTTCAAATGTCTGACATTTGTAAGGGCTTTCCTTCTAAACTTACACACGTGTTATCCTTACTGCTTGGAAAAGTTGGTATCTACGGCGGAAGGCAGTTCGGAGGGTTAAATAACGCACGTGCAGAGTTTAGAACAGTTTTTGTCAATCAAGAACTCGCTGTTATTTCAGTGTTCATAATAAACATGTAAATGCAGTCTTTGAAACATTTGGGGGTTTTGGTAGTTAAGGCATAAAAAACTGTTTACGGAGAAGCACAGTTTTGTAAATAAGGTTTATGTGTGAAACAAATCTCCCCTCTTTGATCAATCCCTATTTGTTGTTAATGCGCATTTGCTTTAGGCAGTTACCAAAAATTAAACCCAGAAATGCTAAACTATTGGCGATTGTTTTCAGAGGAACAGTGGGTCAGTACTGTAACACAAGTACAATGCCATTGGTTAGTTGTAACTTACCCTAACAGCTCTGGGATTTTGCTTCACTTTGCTTAATTTTATTTCTCCAAATATTTTGTGTGGTGGTGGTTTTGTTGTTGTTGTTGTTATGTATTGTAATTTTTGTTATTTTTTTATAATTTTTATTGTGATTTTAATAAAAGCTTACAAATAACTTGGATTTCCATTTATTCATTGTTGCACATTTCCCTCCCTACCTCCTCTCTTCAAATGATTTTGAATGAAGAGAGGCTATTTTGATAATGATGGGTTTTTCAGTATGTGGCCAAGAGCAAGGACAGAAAATTGAATTAGACTTACTATTTTAATGTAGCATGTTATGAATGAATATATATCTAAAAGTCTTAATTATACCCCCTGATCTTTTATTATTGTAACTTTTGTGTTTTTGTTTTTTCAGTATTTGGTTTCTTCTCCCTTTTGTCCAGTCTAGAGATCTAAAAATGGCATCCAAACAAGAAATAATGAATGACCAGCGATTTCGGCGGGTTACAAAGGACCCAAGATTTTGGGAAATGCCGGAAAAGGATAAAAAAGTCAAAATTGACAAAAGATTTCAAGCCATGTTTCATGATAAAAAGTTCAAGCTGAACTATGCTGTGGATAAAAGAGGGCGCCCTGTCAACCACAGTACTACAGAGGATTTAAAACGGTACTATGACCTTTCAGATTCTGATTCCAATCTCTCCAATGAAGAAAGCAAAACCTTGGATCAAAAAAAGAAAATGAAGAAAAAAACCCAGGTTAAAATGGAAACCGATTCAAAAAGTCTAGTCAAGGAGAGAAAGAAAGGCACCAAGAAAATTAGTCAAAATGATTGTGATGGTAAAGATGAATCACATAATTCTGAGAGAATTCCAAAAGCCAAAATAAGTCCCAAGAAGGATAACCAAGAATTTACACAAAAAGGTACAAAACAGGAAGAAGACATTGAACATGGTGTAACCTCCTTTCCTAAAGGAAAACCAAAGGTAGTTGATGCAGAAGTCACTGAAAGAGTGAAATCAACCAAGGTCAGATCTTCTGAGACAAGAAGAAAAGTACAGCCAGGTTAGTTGCAAGAGATTAAGGATTGTTGCTTATTTACTTTTGTTTGTGTCTTCTTAAAACTATAATCATACCTCATTTTCATCTCAATAGAAGGATGAGTAAAGATGTCTAACAGCAGATCAGGGCCTGCCCATGAGGCTTCCTAGATAGATGCTGGACGGGGGTGGGGGGGGGGGTGTAGCACATTTAAGAAATACCATCTCTTAATAAGTGTTTTCACAGTATAAAGTTGAGATGTTTATTTTAAAGTATAAAGAAAACCATAGCATGAGATGAATATAATTTTCTTAGTTTGGTAGTATAGAAACTAGGAAGCAGACATATGAAGGTTTAAGGCTGAAAACTAAACAATGATTTTGAATTGAGGTGGCGACCACTGTTGTTGCCTCAGACTCAAACAGGTCCTTTGTAACCAAAGCGCTGCCAATCCTGCATCATTCTCACAGTCTTGCTGTGCTTGAGTCTGTTATTACAGGCGCTGTGTCAGTCTGTCTCTTTGAGGGCCTTCCTGTCTTTCTCTGACCCTCCACCATTCCTAAGCATAGTGTACTTTTTCAAGGAATGGCCCTTCCTAATAATAAGCCCAAATTACATGAAAGAAATTCTTGCCATCCTTTTCACTAAGAAACATCCTTTCTGTACTTCTTTAAGACAGATTTGTTTGCTCTTTTGCCACCCCCCCCGGAATATTCAGTGTTCTTTACCAACACATAATTCAGAGACATCCATGTTTCATCAAGTACCTTAACCTTTGCACCTTCATTTCATTGCACCTTAACCTTTAAAATGTCACCCGTGCTCTTGAGCACTTTAAAGAGATTCTTGATGGTACATTCTCCCAATGTAATAAGTTGTTTGATTTCTTGGCTGCTACTTCCAAGGGTGTTGCATACAATTCCAAGTAAAATGATACCTTTGACAACTTCAGTTTTTTTCCTCCGTTTATTATGATGTTGCTTTTTGGACCAGTTGTGAGGAATTCTGTTTCTTTTAACTCTCTCATTGTCATCAAGTTGGAATCGACCGGCTGACCCTCCACTGCATTTGCTGAATTGTTTCTCTCACAGGAGATGATTGCCCATCTTTGTCTTAAGGAGCTGACCTTTGAGTTTGCCTCCAGACTTCCTATGGACTATTTTGAGGTGTAACACATACTGAAGGCTTTGACTTTCAGTGTACCTCTTTAGAAGAGGTACAATTAAAAGAAAACTTTGAATAATCTTGTTTCAACATAGAAGGTACTGTCATCTGCATGACATAGGTTTTGATGAGCCTTTGTCCAGTTTGTCATTTAGCTTCTCATGTAATCTGCTCAGTCAGTATACCTCTTAAATAGGTATAGTGGAGGGATTTGATCTTGATGCATACCCTTCCTGATTTTAAACCATACTGTTCCAATTATTCTACTCCAGTGACTTCTTGTTCCATATACAGCCACAATCTGAGCACAATTAAGTGTTCTAGAATTCCCTTTATTCACAATGTAATCCATAATTTTATTATGATCTACACAGTGAAATACAAAGAGCTCTGGTGACCTAGGGGGGAAAAAATGCTGCGCTCCAGTCCCAAAGGCATGTGGTTTGAGGCCACCAGTTGCTCTGTATCTCCTCCCGTATCATTACTACCTCCGAAAGCTTGCTGAAGGGTCAGCTATGGGTCGGTTCCAACTCTACGGTACACAACATATAAAACACAGTGAAATGCCTTTGCGTACTCAACTAAAACACAAACATATTTCTAGTACACTCTGGTTTCAGCCATGATCTATCTGATATCAGTAATAATGTCATTTGTTGCAGCTTGAATTTCTGGAAGTTTTCTGTTGTTGAAACTTCTTGTTCCTGCTGATTTTGAATAATCTTCAGCAAGAATTTTTCTGCATGTGAAATAATTATGTTGTTTGGTAATTTCCACATTCTCTTTGATCATCTCTTCACCATGCATCCTGATGCTGCCAATTGGTCCAGTGGTGAGAATCTTTGTCTTCTTGACATTGAGCCTCAATCCATATTGGAGGCTGCAGTCCTTGACCCTGAGGCACCTGCTGCAGAGGGTCAAGGACTGCAGCCTCCAATATGGATTGAGGCTCAATGTCAAGAAGACAAAGATTCTCACCACTGGACCAATTGGCAGCATCAGGATGGATGGTGAAGAGATTGAGATTGTACACAGCTTTAGTTTGCTTGGCTCCACAGTAAACAGTCTTGGCACCAGCAACCAGGAAATTAAAAGGCGCATTGCCATGGGAAAGTCTGCTGTTAGGGACCTCTCCAAAGTACTGAAGAGCAATGGTGTCACTCTGGAGATTAAGGTGCGTCTGATACAGGCCATAGTCTTTGCAATCACTTGTTATGCATCAGAGAGTTGGACAGTGACCAAGGAGAATAGAAGGAGAATTGATGCCTTTGAGCTGTGGTGCTGGAGAAAAGTATTGAGAATACCATGAACTGCTAGGAAAACAAAACAGATTTGTCCTAGAAAGGGTTAAACCGGGTGGCTCCTTGGAGGCAAGGATTCTGAGGCTCCGTCTAACATACTTTGGACATGTTGTGAGGAGAGACCGGTCCTTGGAGAAGGACATCATTCTTGGGAGGGTGAAGGGACAGTGCAGAAGGGGAAGACCCTCTATGAGGTGGATTGATTCAGTGACTGGGATAATTGGGATGGGAGTGTCAGAAACAGTGCAATTGGCACAGGACAGAGCAGAGTTAGGGCTGTTGTACATAGGGTCGCTATGAGTCGCAAGTGACTCGACGGCACCTAACAACAACAACAACTCAAATATTAATTTCTTCTAGTTGATTGACCAGATAGCTCCCTTCTAAATGTCTTTGTCTCAAAAAATGAGCATGTGTAGGGCTGCGTCTGTTTGCTAAAACACTTCAGTTGGTGGTCTGCCAGATCCTGGAACCTTTTTAATTTTTTTTCCGTGTCTTCAGTGCAACTTAGATTTCTTCATTTAGTAATTTCATTTTATAACATACTACTTCCTGAAAGGTTTTTTTAAAATTTATTATTTGAATAATTTTAATGAACATTTACAGAGATTTTTGGATTTCTATTCATTCATTGCTGCACTTCTCTCCCTGCCTCCCCAATCCCCCCACCCCCCAGTTGGCTCCTCTGTTTGAAAAGTAAAAGAAAAACTCCCTCCCTGGTACACAATCCCCCTGCACCCCTCCCACCACCCCAAGTACATTCCACTATGCAACCTTAATTGTGGACTCTTGTGATAACCATAATACCCTATCATACATCACTTTTAAATTATTCTCTCCCTCATCTGTTTCCTGAAAGGTTTTAATGTCAGCTAGTTTCTTTTGTTACAGTGGTTATATTTTTTGTGTCTCCCTTTTCATGTTACTTGTATCATTCAATAATTTATAACTCACTGGCTCAATTTTTTTTTCTTTAATTTCTTTTCACTTGAAAAATACTAAGTATTTTTTTTCCTCTTTGAATTTCTAACTCCAGGTCTTTGCACATTACTTTATAACTTTGTTTTCATGAGCTATCCTTTAAAATCTCTAACTCCCTTTATACTTCCCTTTCACTTTAGCTACTCAGTGTTCTAGAGAAGGTTCCGAGTCTCTTCCAACATCCATTTTATTCTTTCTTTCCTGTCTTTGTAATGATTTTTGTTTTCTTCTGAGAGCTTTAATGATGTGGTTCACAAGGAGTTCTGCTGCTAACCCAAGGCCATCCCTGTCTGGCATTGAAATTCACCTGTGACTCCAAGACAGGCAGTCTCCTCCCGTGTGCTGTACAGCCTTGGAAACCCAGTGGAGGGTCAGCTGTGAGCCATGTGGAATTGATCACAATGAGTTTGGCATTTGCTTTCTTCATGTAATACATCATCTCACAAATCATCTGGTCTTTGGTCATCGGTGTTCAGTTCATGAAATCTGTAGAAATGCTTTTAAGGTTCAGGTAGCATAAAATCAGGGTTGTCATTTGGCTCCAGGGGCTTGTTTTAATTTTTGCACTTCAGTTTAAATAAACATATGAATAGTTGATGGTGTGTTCTACCATTGGCACCTGACCTTGTTCTGACTGATAATATTGAGCTGCTTCTTCATTTCTATCTATAGTGACCCTATGAGAAACAGATCTGAACCCTGTCCTGTCCTGTGACATTCTCATCATCTCTGACATACATGAGGCCCTTGCCGCAGTTACCGGGTCAGTCCATCTCGTTGAGGGTCTTTGTTTCTTCACTGGCCCTTTCCCTTTTCAACCGTGATGTACCTTTCCAAGGAATAGCCTCTTCTAGCAACTTCTCCACAGTATGTGAAACAAAACTTCATTGTCTTTGCCTCCAGGGAGGCTGCACTTTCTCCAAAACATCTCTTAGTTCTTTTGACAGTCCTTAGGATATTCTCCAACACCACAGTTCGAAGGCATCAGTGCTTTTGTCATCCTTACTCATTGTCCATCTCTCAGAGGCATGAAACTGTTTGAAAAAGCTGGCCTGAATCAAGCACATCTCATTTTCGAACTACCACTCCTTTTTGAATGTCAGTGTTCCAGGTACCAGTTACCGTTATTGCATCTTGATTTCATACTCCTAACAGTTTCAGACTGCAGCACTTGGTAGAAATTCTCAATTTTTTCATCATTAGCTTTAATGGTTAGTGCATATATTTAATTAATGGTAGGTGTTAGCAAGTTTTCATTGTGTGGGTGTGGATATTTTTCTGTCAGTGACAACATTGTTCTTTAGGACAGAAATGTTTTTGGTTTTTTTCCCCTCTTGGAAGGTGAAATAGTAGTGATAGATTTATTAGAAAGTTACATCTCCAAAGAGATAGACCTCCCTCCCTAAAAGGAGTTATGGAGGGAAGGCCTGTAATGTTCTTTTAATGATGAATTTTGTGTCATTTCTCTTTGATTTTTCTTTGCCAGCACAGTAGACTATATGTTTGTCTGGTTTTAAATGGCAAATGCAAGTCCATTTCAGTTCACTAGTATCTTGGATATCAATAGTACTCTTCCCACTTAGTTTTGGACATTTTCCAATTTCCCTGGATCAAAGCTTAGATTACATGTTCCAATTATTAACAGATATTTCCAACTTTTGCCTCATTTCAAGTATTGCCACATCAGCATATAATTTCTTAGTAAATTTGATGCAGGATACTTTTTATTCCATTTAATTAAATGTTTTCATTTTTTTAAATTTCTCCCTCTTTGCAATGGTTCCACTCATAATGACGGGAAATGATTATGAAAACACAGCAGAAAGCAAAGTATTTGTTGAAGATTCTCCAGAGGAGAATTCAGAACGTGCTAGTGAAACAGGTGATGAGGCATCTGAAGATGACGTTATAGGAGTTGGTAGAGCTTCGAGTGAAGAAGATGATGATGAAAGTGAAGATGAGGATGATGAAGATGAAAGCGACAGTGGCCCTGATCTTGCTAGAGGTAAAGGAAATATAGAAACTAGTTCTGAAGATGAGGATGATGAAGATTTACTTCCAGAGGAACCCGGTTTTGAGCATGCATGGAGAGAATTAGATAAAGATGCTCCTCGAGCTGATGAGGTAATCTTGTGAATAAATAAAATTATTTGTGATGAAAATAGTACTAATGAATTTTATGGTTGTAGAGTTGCTATCATTAAAATGTGAAAAATATGACTTATACATAATACTTTATGATTATTCAAATTTCTTGTTTTGGAATATATACATATGAGTAAATTAGAAGTTGTCCAAATAAGGAGAAATTTCTACATAAATAAATTCACAAGTGAGTTAGAGAAAATACTTGTTTTAACTAGTGTTTTATATTTGTGTTACTGCCACACCTGTTAAAAATACTACAAGGTAGCATGCTCAGCTTGTCTTCTCATACATGTTGGCAATATGGCTTAACAGTGGCATTAAGGTAGATTAAAAATCATGTCCTGCGTCATTAATTAAGAAAGTAAGAGAATGTGTTCATATGTTTATAGTTTTTCTACTACTTGACTCATTTGAGTTTCTCTGTTACACATTAAACACTTGAGGAACTACTGTTTGTTATTTCAGCCTATGGTAAGAAAAAAAGGCTTTTCCTTTTTAGTATCTGTACTTAGTAAACAGTGAGCATGATGTAAATTGTATAATTTTCTTATTTTCCAGATTACACGTCGATTAGCAGTTTGCAACATGGACTGGGATAGATTAAAGGCAAAAGATTTGCTGGCTCTGTTCAATTCATTTAAACCTAAAGGA